TATTGAACTTGCCAACCTTGTCCGCGAGGGCACCGGGAATGATGCGACCGAAGATACTAGCGGCGTTGAGAATAGCTAGAAGATATCCAGCCAAGGTAGTTGACATTCCAGCGGCCATCGCTTGAACTTCGATAAAGTTGATGGGTATAACTAAGTCTGGGATTAGTACGCGTCTTATCGGCAGCTCGTACAGGGGGGTAACTTACACAGTCCCATGAAGAACAAAAATGACGCAATCGTCAGTAAGACAAAGCGAATATCACCAAAAGGCTCCACAAACACCTTGAACTCGAACGTTCTGGGTTGTGGCGGTAGGCGAGATTTGACAGTGAGGAAAGCGATAGTCATCATGCCGAGGATGAGGAAGCCAAATGTCCTCATTGTCCAGCCATAGCCGATTTCGGGGATGAGGTGTGTTGCCATGATAGGAAAGATGATGCCGCCTAGTCCACTGCCAGCTGCCATGACCCCGTATGCCAGGCCTCTCTTCTTCAGAAACCATGTAGGAATGGTGCTCGTTCCTGCCTGAAAGATACAGTTCAGACCTAGAGGGCTGCAGATTCCTTGGGCGAGGATAAATTGCCAGTACTCGGTGCATAGGCTGGTCATCATTAGACCAAGCACGTGGAACAAAGTACCGAACAACAATATGTACTTGGGGCCGTAGTTGTCGTAGAGGAAACCGACGATAGGTCCAGGTGCAAACATGACGAAGATCTCGAGGGAAGCGATCCAGGCGACGGTAGACGGCGAGTACGCGCTGAGCTGATTCCGCTGGTAGTAACTTTGGAACACTCCGACGCAGTTTAGCCATCCAAATGAGCAGAAGAGACAGCAAAAGCCTCCGAGGAGACACAGATAGGCGTCTCTTCCGCCATCAGGAAATTGACTAGGATGGAATGGGCTCACGGCCGCTGTAGGCTCGGTCGTATCGAGTTGCTTTTCATCGACTGTTGTTGGCGGTTGTTCGACATCGGATTGGGGAAGTCGAGACTTCTCCTCGTGCAAAGATGCCACTGAGCTTGTAGTCTGCGACATGGTAGTAGACGGTAGCACTAGGGGTGGGAAGTTGAGCGTGAAGGAGTTGGTTAGATGAAAGCTGGGCTAGGCCATGATTAAGTAGTTAACCATTGAGGTTGACATGGAGAAGCGTAACGGCGCTTCGCTCCTTACCATGGAATCCGTGTGATCCGCACATTCGATATCAAGCTATTATTGGGGTAGGTTTGCATGTAGGCCTGCACGCCTGTTCGCGCTCGGCCTCGCCTTTGACGCAGACCGACGTGCCGAGCCAATGGCGAGATATCTCACAACATTCGCATTACCACAACAGCGAAGGCAGTTGCGGGAAGGAGGTTAGTGACCCACATTCCCAACGATTAGCTCGGTCTTTCGAAGAGATTTGCTGGCGAGTGCGGTGTTGGAAGGATCTCGCTCTTACGCGCGCGCGGGAGACGCGTAGGAGATGTCGGAGATGATGGCATCTCCGACCCGCGTCCGACATGGGACCATCAAACTGAAGATGCATCCTATATGTGCGTGCGGCCACCCAAACATGAATTCTCACGATGGGTACATGTGGATCATCCTTCTGCGCTCAAATCAGCAATCGCTTCCATGCGTTGGCGCCCTGACAAGATGCGCATGGCATTGATGACGCATAGCTTGCGAGTGACTGCAGCTGTTGATCGACGAGTGTGAATATAGCAAGATAGCGAGTAAGCCACTTCTCATGGTGAAGTCTGTCGAGAGTCGTTGGGTCGAGGCAGCGATGGAGGTGAAATCTGGAGGTGCAGGACCGGTTCGCTTGATCGGGCAACGACGCACAGACTTGGTTCCTTCGCATTTTGCCTTCCGAATCAGTGTGGTCCTCACTAGCACTCTTGCTTGAACGCGCACAACGACCAACCCACGCCCAAGCCCCGACTACCCTGAATCCATCCCGATCATCTGCTGGGGAGCTTCATATAAACATATTCGGCCATCTACACCCGCGCATCGCCATCTCATCGCCCGCCTATTCCTGCATCTCCACCGGATTCCATCCCATTTCAGTGCACACGGCCCGGTACGCGCAACTAGCCCGAGGATAGCTTTTTACTATGCTAACGTCGACTTGCTGTCTTAGCATCTAGGCGCCTGTCCTCTGCTTCGCGTATCTCATCCCCCACCACACTCCGCGCAAACTCGACGCAATTCGCCCTCCATCCCGCCGCATAACCTCGCCGTCACCCGCACATTGAAAATGGCATCCACCGAGTCATCCGGCCCCGTCAACGGCAACTACGCGCCGCAGCAGTACGAGAACAGCTACTCCACCGGCGCCTCCAACTTCACACCCTCGCAGCAGCCCACGCCCAGCCAGCCCGCACAGCAAGCCGCCGCCTCAGAGATCCCCAAGGACGAGGTCGGCTGGTACTTTGTCGAGCAGTACTACACCACCCTGAGCAAGAGCCCGGACCGACTCTACGTAAGTCGCAACTGCGGGAAGGCTTTTCTTGGTGACCACGCGACTGACCCAATTTGCAGCTTTTCTACAACAAGCGCTCCCAGTATGTTTCCGGTGTCGAGGAAGACAAGGTCAACGTCTGCCTAGGCCAGAAGGTACGTGAAGCACGCTCAATTGCAGTCGATGCATGCTGACTCGTGTCTAGGCCATCAACGAGCGCATCAAGGAGCTTGAGTTCAAGGACACCAAGGTCCGCGTTACCAACGTCGACTCGCAGGGCTCCGATGCCAACATCGTCATCCAAGTCATCGGCGAGATCTCCAACCAAGGCCAGCCCCACAAGCGCTTCGTGCAGACCTTTGTCCTCGCCGAGCAGACCAACGGCTACTTCGTCCTCAACGACATCTTCCGCTACCTTGCCGACGAGCCCGAGGAGGACGAGGACCAGCAAGAGCAGGCCGCGCCCCCCAACGGTGTCACGGAGCCCGCTCCCACCGCTGCCGTCCCCGAGAATGCCGACCTCAACCAGAGCGACGAGATCGCGACCAGCGAGGAGGACCTGAACAAGGTGGACAACAAGCTACACCAGGCTGCGCAAGAGGAGCCGTCTGTCGAGGAGGTCGCGCCTGCTGCCCCGGCTCAACAGGTTCCAGAGGAGATTGAGCAGCCCGCTGCTGAGGAGGCACCTGCTGCTGTCGAGGAGAAGGTCGCAGAGCCAACCCCCGCCGCTGAGGAGACGGCCGAGCCTGAGAAGCCTGCCGCTGCCGCACCGGCCCCCGCCCAAAAGGCCGCCCCCGTTGCCATGCCCTCTGGTCCCCCCAAGCCTGCCGCTCCCCGAACTTGGGCCAGCCTCGCCGCCTCTGCACACAAGGTCGCCACTCCCGTCGTCAACGCCCCCGCCGCTCAGCAAGCTCCTTCGCAGCCCAAGGCCGCTGCCGCCGCTCCTGCTCAAGCCGCTGCTGCCGCCCCCAGCCAGACCTCAGCACCTGCTCGTGACCAATCCCCCGCGACAAGCCAGGGCGAGGCTGCTGGCTGGCAAACAGCCACTGGACACAAGAAGGAGCAGTCCCGCGCACAGAACGCAGGACCTGCCGCCGACCCCGACCAGAAGCGCGCTTACATCAAGAACGTCTACAGCCAAGTCGACGACGCTGCTCTGAAGACTGCCCTGACCAAGTACGGCGAGATCGAGTACCTTGACATCAGCCGTGGCAAGGTAAGTAAATGTGCTTCACCACATGGTACCTCAACTAACACCCTGCAGAACTGTGCTTTCGTCGACTTCAAGACACCCGCTGGCTTCCAAGCTGCCGTCGCAGCCAACCCCCACACGATCAACGGCATTGAGATCAAGGTCGAGGAACGCCGCCAGAACCCCGGCCAGTTCAACAGGGGAGGAGGATTCCCTCGTGGCGGTGCTCCTCGCGGCGGCCGTGGCGGTATGGGTGGTCAAGCACCCCGTGGCAACTTCCAACCTCGGGGACGCGGTGGACCCATGCGTGGCGGTCGCGGCGGTGCTGCTCCTCAGGAATCATAGGAGGCTTCACGCGCTGCTTACTCCCTCGTTCCTTTTGCCATTCTTCTTCTATCTCTTGTTGAGTCGGTTTGACTCGATGGCCTCACGACTGACGGCTTTAGCCATGTACTGTACCGACCCCCTTTCAGCGCTTGTATAAAAGTCATTTCATTTCGAGGAAAAGTCTGGGCGTACGCGTTCGTCTTAGGGCTCTGAGCCCTTGCATAGCGAGTGGTTTCGTTTCTGCATGTTTCCTTTCTGTATCCGTGTATATCCGTTCAGCCGTTTTCGAACATATTCCCTTCTTCGCGGTCGCATTCTTCGTCAAGTAATGTTTAGGGAAGGCTATCTGGGGGTTCCTGGGTACGGGCTAGGGATGTCATAGCATCTGGTGTAATGGGTGTACAGCATAGCTTCGGCGACAACAGGATCGGACGGGGAAGGGCAGTCAAATCGTGAGATGATCTGGTACGAATACAATAAATGATATACGCTCCAACACGGTGTAGATGTACTAGAGTGAGGTTGTCTGGTGATTGCTGATAACGTCACCTGATAGGTCTAGTGCGACGCAAGATGTGCCTAGTGCTGCGCTGACCGTTGATTCGAAGACGCGCAATCACCTGCATCAGCAACAGCCCATAAGCTTCAAGCCGCGCCAGCCTGCGTTTCGTGCATACGAAAGACTCGTACCCTGAGACCCTGATAATCCAGCTACTGCTCTTCCTCACACTCCACTTAATTAACGCTGGCGCATTATCACGAGGCTAAGGTCGCAGTAGATCGCGCGGGGCTAAGCGGGGCCGTCGCGCGACGTGCATCACATCACCACTCGGTATCTACTGAAGCTGACCAAGTCTCTCGCTTTCAACCCGCTGTACTCACCTACTCTGCAACATATGCCCCAGGAGCTCTGCAAAGATGCGACCGCTACCGGGCGGCGACGCCCTGCCTGCTACTGTTCGGCCGCGATCTCGTAAATCAAGCGTCGATCATCCTACCGCCCCTTCGAGCAATGTCCCCACTACCTTCGTCATGAAGCGCGTCGGGGATTTGGAGCACACCATGGTTCCTCCTCACAGCGCGACTGCTGCAGCAAAGCAGCAGGATAGTACATTCGGAGTCCAGAGTCTTGCCGATACTTTGGAGGCTGCTTTCGGCCCAGAAGGTACAGATCCAGAAAAGGCTAGTAAGACGCAGCATCATGGGGCAAAGAGTTCAAGATCCGAGTCGCATAGCTCTTCGACAGATTCAGCCACACCGCCAGACAGATCCAGGATAACTTCGGTACGGAAACTGAGGAGAAACTACACGAAAAATGACTCGATTACACACTTTAAACTTCCCGCCGCCAGCGTCGACGTTCCTTCCCCACTCCCCACGTCCGCTATGGGGAGTACACCGAGGTCCGCTTCGATAACGTCGCTCAAGCTGTCCGATGAGGAGTTTGCCATGGATGATGCTGCGAGCCAGGCCGTTGTTTCGAGTGGAGAGGAGGAAGAGCAGGTAGAGGTGCAGCCGGACATGGCGAGCTTTCCACAGCTGGTCATGCCTGAGATGCAGATGCCAACCAGGAGGCCTTTCACAACCAGAGGCAAGGCTATGGGAAAGCTGAGAGTTATGGTGGCGGGCGAGACAGGTGCGTTGTAGTCGAAACATGCGATATCATCTCGGTAGAAAGCGCTATACTGACAAGTACTACGAAGGTGTCGGCAAATCGTCCCTCATTCGGTCCATCGTTCAGGCCTGCGAAGACATCGTACACGTAGATCCTCTATCGCCCTCCCAGCCGAGCGCGCCTTCACGCCCAACGAAGTCGAAATTCCGCACAAAGAAAGCCGAGCATGCGGTCACAACCCGGGTGACTGAGATACATGCGAGCACGAAGCCTTACCCTCATTGGTGGACTGATACCGAAGAGAGCGGCATTCTGCGAAGAAGAAAGAGCAGTATGGATACTGTCTTGGAGAGAAACATATGTTTCGTAGACACGCCTGGGTACTCACAAGGCTCTGCGGAGAAGGATATAAGCATGGTGATAGACTATGTCGAGTCGCTGTTATACCAGACCTCATCAGTAACAACGCTAGAAGACAATGATGTGCTTGGGGTCGTCAGTGGTAGTGGGGGCGTCCTAGTTGACGTCGTCATATACTTGCTCCCACCAAGTAAGCCAAACCATCGTTCGTACTTTCATTCTTACTGACTTCAACCAGATCGAGACATCACGAAAGATGTTGAGTACATGCAAAGGCTATCGCACTTTACCAACGTCGTGCCTGTAATTGCCAAATCAGACACACTTTCGGCGCAAGAAGTGGTAGCCCTAAAGACGTCCATACTCGCACGGCTGCAAACCACTGCTCTTAGACCCTTCTTCTTCGGAAAGGCTATGGACGATGCCTTACTCGCCGTACAGGGCCTTCCGGTCGCTAGGACTTCGGGATCAGGAGCGCCAAGTGAGGCAGCTGAATACCCCTTCACTACACCAACCTATCCTTACGCCGTCTCCTCGACGTCTGGTCCCGACCACGATAACATGGATGCGTCCTTGCTCATGTCGCCCGACTACGTGCAGCCTCTTCTTCCCTCTGAACTCGCTCCACTAGTCAACCAGGTATTCGATCCTGACTCCATTGCGTGGCTTCGGTATTCAGCAGCGAAGAAGTTCTTGGCATGGCGGCGCAGGATTAAGCTACCAGGCGACTCTGTAATGCTACAGAGTCTAGCTCAACCACGTAGTCCGACAACGGCTTCAGTCGGACTGAACGGAGCCCACCTGAATTGTAAGATCATCTCCCTGCCACATTGTGCAAGCTAACCTCTTTATCAGCATCCGCAGCATCCTCAGTATTCTCCGCTGCATCGCCATCAGGTGTCCTGGTACCCGGATCAGGATCACCATTCTACCCATCGAACCTACAATCCCCTCTCCTCGCCTCCTCTCCCTCCCTAGCCAACTCCGAGTCTCTCGAGCCCCTTGGCAACTTTTCACTGGCAAGATACAACAACACTGCGCAAGGCGAGCAGCGCCTCAACGAAGTACGGATAGCAAGATGGGCAACAGATCTGCAGCGCAGCCGACGAAACGAAAGAGAACGATTCGAGGAACTCCAGAGCAACGACAGGGCTAAATGGCTGCTCGAGCGCGTCGGCGAAGAGGTATCGAAGGGCACGATCGTCGCATCGCCTGGCGAGTTACCGAGAGCTGAATGGGCGGTAGTCAGACGCAACAGCGACGAGAAGAAGACTGTTAAGGTCAGTCAACGCTATGCCAAAGCTGTTGGGCTGGACTCGCGAGATCCGCTTGGCCTGTGCAATTTCGGCGACGAATTAAGGCGACAGAGCTTCGTTCTCGTGAAGGTGCTAGGCGGCATGAGCGTGTTGGGTGCTGTCGTCGTGGCTGTCGTTAGGGCGTGCGGCATTGAGACTGGGCTGCCTCAGCTCGGCTGGTGGGAGTGGATTACCAACTCGGAGTGATTGGCCACTGTTGCTCGCTGCACGTATGTCTCTCCATGAGCTTTATATCATGTATGATGTGATACCTTATAGACACTCTTCTACATTGTAGCTTGACGGGACATCTCGAGTCTAGGGAATAGAATCATACTCTACGAGGAATGTGTGCTCGAGTTTGATATCGGTGACATTGTTGCAGTGATGGTAGAGTGTGTTTTCAATACGCCGGCTTGATGATGTGGGTCATGATGTGACGCTTCGTCATTGCAATCGGGAATGCCATACACATAGCTTAGAAGTAAGAAATTGGGTCATTCGCTGTGGGTTGGGTAGATTGGTCGGGGATAGCATGCCACACTCCAGACTGACACGGGCTGCTGATAGTATAAAACGGAGTGCCTTAATCCCATCAGTCGACTAAGCGAAGACAGCCTCATGGGTAATGTAGTAAGGCATGGCGCATCAGCTAGTGTTGGGTGTGTAATCAATACTTCTAGAGAGCGTTGGGGGTGACGCCTGTCGAATTCATTGACTGGCGGCGTCTCAGTGAAGAAGCAAGTGTGGGTGCTGAGTAGCGGCACGAATTTGTACAGCATGCACGTTGTACCAAGTAGACGATGTGCATTAACTATCCAACGCCCAGTAGAGCTCCGTGGTCTAGTAAGCATGAATGGTCCGTGAGCCCTTAATGGGCTGACGCTTCAGCGAGTGCAAATCAGACCTGGCTCGTTGCTAGAATGCCTATTGAGGTGTGCAGATGCACCTGGACCGTTGGGACTCGGTCATATCATCTCCATCCAATAGCCACATATTTCGCCCTTTCTTGGATAATGCAAGTTGATCTGGTGCCCTCCGCTCGATCGCAGCGTGCCTTCGATGCTGCAGCTCCGCCACCGGATGGGTGTGAAAGAAGTATGGAGCGGGGCGCTGGTCTGCAGTGCATCGTGCCGGAAAGAGAAAGAGCTATTCATTAGATACATGACGTGATATCATACGTGTAATTGTTGAGTGCTGTGGCGGGGAGCGAGAGACGGAGATGGGCACTGCGTACTGCCTTGCCATCCGGATTCTGCGTAGGGGGTGTATGGAACCCTGTCAGTATAAGCATACTACCGCCTATCGCGTCCCGCTAGTAAGGTCATGACATTTTCCGCTTGTCACGATTATTGGGGCTGTATCGTGGGAATTGACCTGAGCTCCCGCGAAAGGGTGTGATAGGCCAAATGAGGGTGTTGGGACGCAGATGTGAGTCTGACGGGGGCATGGGCCTTTGATGAAATTCGAGCGTCTGCGTGTGCTATGGGACTCAGAGATCTCCTGTGCGAGGATCGGAGATGGTTGTTCTGCGGCGTTCACTCACGTTTGTCTCCACGTGGTCTATTTTGACCTGCACATCCACGAGATTAAGTTGCAGCAAACTTTATACATATTGCAGAGGGCATTAGCAGGCATCTTATCCGGTCGTGTTATATTTTGGGGTGGCTGTTCTATTGTTCTTGCATTAGGGTTGAGAGCTGGTCATGTTTGGGCTCAGATATGCGGCATCTCAACACTTCAAGAGAAGTGACCGCAACGTGACGGCTTTTCAAGCTTTTCAAGCTATGCGTTGAATGACTTGTCGTCTGAATCTTACATTGCTGATCAGTCACGTCACCTTAGCATGAATCTGAATGTCATCACTAGCAGAGTACATACAGTATTTGGTACCTAGGTAAGAGCAGCCCCACTCACCAAAATCGGCATCTCACGCAGAGCCCCTTCGCAGTGTATTATGGAACGTCATATTCATCAACTCTTGGTTACAGTAATTGATCAATGAGATTATGAGCACAGCATCACATTGTGTGTGCTAACCGCTGCCGTTGAGCATTCGGCACTGAAAAGTGCTGTCTTGGACATGCCGAGCGATGATTGCCTTCTAGATGGTGATCATGACGCTGACGTGGCGAAATCTTCATTATTGCCGTCGCCATACTGTAGTTGAGTATATGGAACGGTTCCTAGTACAATGAACACAAATACTGCCTACGATATAGGACACAATGTCGAGCCAGAGCCCTGTTGAACGTCAAGGTTATATTCATCCGCCGCACATTGTTAAGAGCAATGCATAGGCGGTGCAACATGAGATACTAACAGCGATCATTATGGTGGGTGCTATGATACCGGTGGTAGTAGTCGCAGACAGTATCTGTACGGATGCTCGTAACCGCAAATCCTTCAGTGGCTCGGTAACAGGGATTCATGACCCTCCTGCCTATCCAAGGAAGCCTGATTTCATGTAGCGCCATATTCTTGCAGTAAGCTGAACTATTTGGAATCACTACACCGTCAAAGTAATCACAGTCCCTAGGTTCCACGTGATGCGGCTCCGCCCATCCAGTGAAGCTCGATTGCCAGGGGTCGGCGGCAGATGATGACGCCAGCGGGCCGCGGGAATCTATCCGTAAAAGCAAGACCCACGGAGGTGGGTTTGACTTCGTGTCAGCTTCACAGTAGCGCGTGTTTTCAGTTGCTCGATGTCAGAAGGTTGTGGAAGGACGCACGCATCGTGGTGTATGCCAAGGATGGAAACCCGACAGCATGGCAAGGTGCGCCATCTTGGGGATTTGGCTTAAAAGCCGCGTAAGATATTGGTGTGGATGACCCAAAAGTAGGAACTAGACGCTGGAAAAATGAGGCCAGTACAGGGAGCACACCGATCGTGTGGTGTAAGAAGGCAACCGAGTGATGGAAGACAAGGAAGAGTGCCGAAATTATGCAACACAAACATTTCGGCTGAATGCCCAGGTATGGCGCTTGTCTGAATATCTCGTAATGCCGTCATGCCGTGAAGGCACATGAACCCGATTGTGATAGGCTCGCAAAACCCAAGGGGCGAGACAAGCGCATGGCGACTATGGTTACTCGTAAACGGTGGAGCTCTCCCACGAAGTGCGCCGTGATGCAGGGCCCCCGAGATGCACCATGACGGAGATGTGATGGTGTCACCATGGCGTTGGGTTATGGCCTGATTCTTGCCGCTGCATCATGTGTCCTGCCGGGTGTGCTTAGAACAGCGGCCCCCACGAATACTGGGATTGGCCGGCAGATGAACCCGCATGGCGCGATTGCCGATATCTCGAGTTGCTGCCATATTCGTATACAAGCGTTGTACCAGATCTCCACAACTTACAACTCTGTGCTGCATCGATCCTGCGCTCGTTTGTCTGGCGTTTGACTTGCGACAAAAGCCCACCTGGCCGGCCTGCAAATATACTATAATGCGAAGCCGCCGGTTTCACATGTCGACCGTACAGTATCTCTGGTCTCCACCAGTTTCGACACTGCATGGCGGCTGCAGGGTTCTTATTGCGAAGCACTGTGCTTCCGTTCTTCCGCCTCTTCCCAGACGCATCTAGCGCACATACAATCTCCGCCAAGTGCTCCAGAAGCCCATTCCCGTCTCTCCTTCACCGGCAGACGTACGTCGCAGTAGTGGCCAAACACCTCTTCATCTCTCTTGAGACCAGGCCCCTTGTTCGGGTCTCTACCCTTCCAATCAACCAACTCTTCGCGGGTCCAAAAGCGCATCGACCCACGCCATTCCCAGGCGACATTAGGATCACAGCTATGATTCGCGAGACACCACATAGGATGAACAGCGCTAATCTCAGGCCTTCCGTCGAGCCCCTGCTGCGCAGACGCTGTTCCGCGGAACTTCGCATACAGAGTGTTGAAGACCCAGGTATCATAGCGGTGACTTTGGGTGAAAATATTGATGTCCATCTTTTCTAGAACATGCAACGGCATGAGTATGTTGCTCTTGAACGAGAAGGGAAGCGTTTGCGGTACGTGTGCAAAAGCATCGCTCAGGCGACCCGAAGCATCCGCTTGCCACACGGTCTCGAGATCTTTGCCATGATAGTCACCCCAAATGTATCGCACTTCCTTCAGCTCCAAAGGATGGAGATCCAGGGTCTCCGCTAACGCTAGTGCGCGGACAAGGAGAAGGGTATAGAGATAGTCTGCCGCCTCACGTGCGGGTACCTTGCCCTGGTCGACGCTGACACCACATAGCGCTGGATGATACTGGTCTTGAGCTAGGTCGTGGCACTCTTCGCTGCAGAAGAATACTTCTTCACATTCTTCGCAGGATATCACTGTATCGTCTCCATTCGAAAGTGGTATAACGCAAGCATCGCAATACGACTCATGAAGCCTTGATATAGCGGTAAGTAAAGACTTTTCCTCCAAAATGGTCTCGCCAGGTGTTATTTCGTCTTTAGCAAATAAGCCCAGTTGCTTCGTATAGTTTGTTCCCGGGTTCGTTCCGTCAGTTGTCGAAGTAGTACTGAGAATAGGCAACTCAGAGACTCTGACCTCCAGTTTTGGTGCTATATCCGCAAGCTCCTCATTGAGGAAGTCAAGGCACTCTGCAGAGAAGCGGTCCGGCTCATGATGGTTCCAAGGATACTGTTCGCGGCGGACGAAGCCCTTGTCTGGATAGTCTTCTACATCGACGTTCTCAGCAGACTCCCCTTGATGCTCGAAGTAAGTCCGCAAATGGTTCCACAAGGACTTCTCGTAGTCCTTGAAGACCGGATCTTCCGGAAAGGCTTTTCTTGCGCGGGATATATAGTCAGATGCACTGCGTAGACAACCACAGTCCAATAAGCAGCTGATTAGTATATCATGACTGTGAAGATTAGCTTCCCACTCGAAAGTTCATCCAACATAGGACAATTTACGTACGCGCTCCTAGACCAGCGCGTTTGCGCCCATGTCAAAATGTCATCATCTACTAAAGACGAATTCTTCTCCTCATCCTTCATGTCCAATTCTGTCATACGTTCAGAGATAACGTCTGTTCGTGCTGCCTCCAAGGCTTCGTCGTGGTATTCGCCTTCATCGAGTACTTCATCCACTAGGATGAGGGCTTTGTATGCATCACCCGCAGCGAGATCTGGATAACCAAGTGCTTGGTACGCTTTTGAAAGCCGTAGACGGCTTGATATACTGTACGGCTCTTCGACTGTAGC